TTGTGATCCTCCTGCCTCAGTGTCTTGAGCCACTGGGATTGCAGACGTGGGTGGGTTACCCAGCCCTTCCTTAAATCCTTCTGAAAAGGATTTAAATACATGCCTGTAAACTATGTGTTCCTATGTAGCTTTTTATGTGGAAGGTACCAAAAAATGGTTACTAAATGAAGAAATCAAGGATTGCTCAGGTACCACTAGCATTTTTTGGTTGCTCATRGTTCTTCAGAACTGGATGTGGAGATTAGCAAGAGCACTCTCCGATTTGCATGTTTGACTGCATTTTTGTCCGTTTTCACCTCTTTGGGGTTATATCTTGTTTCACAGATCTTTTGAACTTAGAACATTTTCCAGTGAAACTTCATGGTTCATGGTTCATGTAGTGTGGATCTGCCCCAGTGTGGTTAATATTTAGCCTCTAAACCACCAGCTGAACGTCCTTAAATCTGAAAGTAACAACATACGCCAATAGATAGCTTAAGTAAAGTGACGTGTGCCTTTTGCTTTGTGGATATCGCCTCAGTGATCCTTTTAGAATCCCTCTAAGGCACATGTTGTCTTCCTTTCAAAAAGAGAAAAGGGAGTCAAGTGTGGTGGCATTTGGCTCTAATCCCAACTGCTTGGAAGGCTGAGGCAGAAGGATCCCAAGTTCAAGACCAGCCTCAGCAATTTAGTGAGAGACCCTGTCTCAAAAACTAAAAAGAGCTGGGGATGTAACTCAGTGGTAGAGCACCACTGGGTTCAAATACCAATGAGGGGTAAAGGGGAGATAGAGAAAGAAAGAATCACAGAGCAAGAGACAATAACTAAAGCATATTAATCCCTGTAACATCTGCAAAGGTCTGCTGCGTACTGGACCAGTACAGAATTTGGAACACTAAAGTCTGGATTCCCAGGCCTAGGCTCGATTTGCCAGGTAGTAATAGGCTGTCTCCATGGGTTTTGTTCCCTCAGAGCACAATTATAATTTTCTCAACTTTCCCATATTCAGGGGTGGGCCCCACTGGGTATAAGCCAATCAGTGCGTCCTGTCACACTGAGCTGATGGCCTAGGATGTCCTGTGACCTAAGATGGTCTACTCAGAGCAGGCCTCAAAAATTTGAAGGGATTTCTGGGACTTGGACTCTTCTCAGCCTGGCAAATGGCATGTCTTAGATCTGCTGCAGCCAGAGTGGGAAGCTTGAAGCTGCCAGGAGAGAGGAGGACTTGCATCATGTGGTGGCTAAAGAATGAGTCCAACCCAGAGGCKCAGAGCCAAGAAATGGGTCCATGTTCTGAATCAAAATCAAATCCAAGTCCATGTGCCTGGATGGCCAATGAGCCAAGAAATTCCCTTTAGTGCCTAAGCATGTCTGAAATCGTTTTATTTCACTGGTAACATTAAACATCCTAATGGATGCACCCTGGTTAGATTATAAACTGCAACAGCAAAGACTGTCGCTCTCCATCGCCATTGTATCCCCTGGCATTCAATAAATAACTTTAGAATGGATGCATTTCAGCTGAAAGGAACACCTTCTATAAATTCCCCTCTGCTCATTTGACAGCTTAGGAGCCTGGAATTCTGTTGGAAAGTAAAGATGTGGATCTAGAAGCCAGATCTCACCCAACACAGGCTTTTTTTGTAACTACCAGGAAGTCTCCCAGTAAGTATGTTGGGGTCTTTGAGGAGGCCTAAAAATAGCAGCCCCCCTCCCTTCTCTGCAAGTTTTGAATGGAACCAAAGAGAGCAGTAAGCTAAATGAGAACCCAAAATAACCTTTATTGCTGATATTAGAGAATGTGGCTTATAATGTCAGACAAATGAGCTTCCCAATACTCAGCCTTAGGATCAGACAAATTGGCCAGAGAYAATTTGACAGTCAGCTAGGCCAGAAAGGGGCTCCCCTGCCCACTCTGCAGAGCAAAGTGTGTGCCCAGAAGACAAACGAGAGGATGATGTGAAGCCCAGTTTCTCCTTCCATACTCATCATCATATTAAACTCCTCCTACTTCTCAGGGAGGCGTGAGGGGGTGTAGAGAAGCCAGGAGTGCTGTGCTGAGCTCCTTTCAGAAAAAAGAAAACATCAAGAGCAGGAAGACTCAGTCTTCCTGACACACATCAGGTATGATTTGGTCAGTTTGGTTGGTTTCTGCTTTGTTTTCAATCAAAATGGGTTATTTTTTCAAAGTGGGATCTAAAATGTCATTCACCATAGAATAACTCACACATCACAATAGCATCAGGCACTAAGGGAGTTTCAGATTAAAAATCATACAGAATCCAAAGGAAGAAATAAGAATTCATGACAAAATGACACAATCGGGGGCACTAGGTGGCAATAATCCTTGTGCTTGCTCACCATGCCCATCAAAGGCATCTTAAGAGCACCGAAATCTCACATACTTCYCACGCCAACTGTCAGTTTCTTTCTCGATGATCTCAGAGCCACACAGTGCATATTAGTCACCAGGAGAACAGAAACAAAGTTTAACTCCTGATGGCACAAGGCTCTGGCAGTTGGATTCCAGGAAATCCAGGCATAGGAAGCCTGTTGCTGTGTTCCCAATTTCCCCAATGTCAAGGCTGGGGCTGCAAGCACTGTTCTGAACAAATRGTCTGCAGTGTGACTGCCTGCCACTCGCTTTTGATTTCACTCACCAGGGCACTTTTTCTGCTTTTTTAAAAAAATTTTTTAAGGTAAACATTTATCATCCAGGTTTTAAGAGGCTTCCTCAAAAAAAAAAAAAATCCCTTGAAGTTTGTGGATGACCCATCTCAATTGGACAATACCCACCCCCCCACCCCGCAACACTCACACATATTAACCAAAAATACGATTAAACTTCAACAGCTTTTACTGAAAACTGCATTGTGAGCCATTTAATGTGACCAAGCCCGGTGAGAACCAGGATGCCCTGAACCCAACATGGATCTCCTCTGTTCTAGCTGCTAAAACCAAGCTTTGTTCTAATCCTGCACAGCTCCCTGGTGGACCTATTGTTGGAGGTCACCCAGTAGACTTGGCTGGCCAGTCCTGGGAGAGAACCCCAAGCTAACAATGGAAACCTAGGACACAGCAGTTTGAGACAATATGTTCTCATCCTCTCTTCTCAGATATAAAGTGAATTTCTCATCTATTAACCTGCCCCTATTTTTATCATCAGAAACTCTCTAATGCCACTTTAGCTATCAATAATTGGCAGGGAGTTTTGCAATTAAAAACTGCCCAGAATCAATTCCAATGATGCTGAAACAGAAAGCACCTCCAAAAAGGCTGATATGGGCATTACTCAGCTGCCTACCTGTCCTCCAATCCTTTTCTTTCCTTACCTCCCACAATTGGCATCTGCTGGGAGAACCTGAAACTTGAACCATGTGTCTAAATACCCAGTTCTTTTTTTTTTTTTTTTTTTTTTTTTTTGGTATAGGGATTGAACCCAGGGGCACTTAACCACTGAGCCTCATCCTCAGCCCCTTTTATTTTTTATTTTGAGACAGGGTCTTGCTAAGTTGCTGAGGCTGACTTTGAGCATGCAGTTCTCCTGCCTCAGCCTCCTATGTCACTAGGATTACAGGTGTGCACCAGCACATTCAGCCTAAATGCCCAGTTCTGAGTATATCCTGAGATATTTGAGAAATATTTGGATTGACTGATTGATGTGTACCTAGAGGAAGGGTGGGGGCAGTTCCACTGAGAAGTTGCCTGTAATTCATAATGAAGAGGGTCTTTCCTGCTGATTCAGCACTCCTTTCTTATTTAAGGCTAAAGGGCCCAGGGACAGATTTGGATGAGAAAGATAGGCTCAGGGAAAAGCAACTGAAGTCTGATCATTCCCTGGAARAGAAGAAATCGGGAATTGGCAACTATGTAGGGCACATCTCAATCTTTACTGGTCTATCTCCTTCCTGAACAGCCCCGGAAGTTCCCTTGAGAAGACTGAACTTTCCTCTCACCCTCTCCAATTACAGACACAAACCAAGGCTTGAGGCAGGAGGATTGCAAGTTCTAGGCCAGCCCAGGCAACACTTAGGGAGATTCCCCCCCCAAAAAAAAGAATACTGGGATGGTGGTGGCACACACCTGTAATTCCAGTGACCTGGGAGAGTGAGGCAAGAGGATCCTAAGTTTGAGGTCAGCCTCAGTAACTTAGCAAGGCCCTAAGCAACTTAGCAAGCAAGACCCTGTCTCAAAATAAAAAATAGCAAGGGCTGGGGATGTGGCTCAGTGGGTAAGCACCTCTGGGCCAAATAAATAAAAGGGCTGGGGATGTGGCTCAGTGATAGAGCACCCCTGGGTTTAATCCCCAGTACTGCAAATCAAACAGACATAAACCAGTGCTTTGGTTAGCTTGTCATAACTTCTGCTCACTCGGCATTGAGGGAGCCTGTCCTTTCACCATGACCTCAAAATGACTCTTTTCAGTACTGAAGTCTGTGGGCCTCTGTTAGCTGGAGAACTAGGAGGCTTTTATTTTTAGAGACATTCTACATTCTGAGGAGATGTCTGAGCTATCTTTCCTCAGCTCCTGACCTGGTGGGTTTGTAGCAAGAAATCCTCCCAGGGCAGCAAATTTGGAAGGGGTGCTTGGGAGGTGAGAGCAAGAGCCAGCCGGAGGTAGAATCTGCTGGAACCTCGGGGTGCACAGGCAGGGATTTATGGACCTGCCGTTTCCCTTGCGCTCCTGCATGTGCTTCTTTAAATCAGCCTCAGCTGAGCTGCTGTCACGAGGTCTGGTGTTTACAGCAGGGACTGAGATAACAGAACCATGGAGATGCCTCTCCTGTTTGTATACTGACCCAATGGTCCAGGCACCATCACCTAGGCCAGTGGGCAAACTCTGTCCTGTCCCCTCTGTGTGAAATGCCAGAATGCCTCTGCCTCAAAGAGGCTGACTCYGTTGTCAGCTGTGGGAAAAAACAGCCAGAGTTGCTATTTACACCGTGAACTGCAAGCTGGGTAAAAATAGCCCAAGCAGCTTGGTCCAGCTTCAAACCCCACTGCAGAAAGAGATTATTTTTGGAAGAGAAGATATTCCTTTCCACCCACAGATCTGAAAATGGTCACCTCTCCGGAAGAGAAGAGGAAAGACAATCCCACACAGAGGTGAAACATACCCCCTTTGCACCCCACTGCAGGACAGCACACCAAAGGCCAGACTGGAAATGCCCTCCCATTACAGCCAYGTCAGGTCCCCAGCACAGACCTGCAGGTGACCTAGTTCAAGGTACAGTGAGAATTAATTAACTTTCACTGTAGTGAGAGGAGGCAGCTGTCTGAACCATCCTGTTGATTGTCACTGCTGTTTAGGATATTTGCCTTTCAAAAAACAATCAAAAAATTAAAAAGGAAGAAGAAAGAATTAGCCAAAAGAATACATAAGACCCTTCATCCCAGCTACTTGGGAGGCTGAGGCAGGAGAATCTAAAAGTTTGAAGCCTATCTCAAAAAAATAGCTGGGTATGATGGCCCATGCCTGTAATCTCAGGAGGCTAGGCAAAAGGATAATGAGTTCAAAGCCAGCCTCAGCAACTTAGTGAGGCCCTTTCTCAAAATAAAAGATAAAAAGTCTGGGGACRTAGCTCAGTGGTGGAGTGCTTGTCTAGCATGTGAGAGGCACTGGGTTCGATCCTCAGCACCACATAAAAATAAATTAATTAAATAAAGGTATTGTGTCCATCTACAACTAAAAAATTTTTTTTTAAGTACAAAAAAAAAATAGTTTAAGCCAGGTGTAGTGGCACACACCTGTAATCCCAGTGGCTTGAGAGGCTGAGGTAGGAGGATTGCAAGTTCAAAGGCACCCTCAGCAAAAGCGAGGTGCTAAGCAACTGAGTGAGACCCTGTCTCTAAATAAAATACAAAGTAGGGCTGGCRATGTGACTCAGTGGTTGAGTGCCCCTGAGTTCAATTCTTGGTACCAAAAAAATAAAAATAAAAAATAAAATAAACCAACAGTTTAGAGTTTGGTGGCCTTGAAATTACTTTCCYTCCTTCTCAGGATCATTTATAGCCATGATGTGGTTGTTCTCACCTCCATGCTTGAGAATGCTTCAAAGCTGGGGGTTGAAACTCTTTCTTCATGTTTTGCCAGAGTTTGAGACCTGCTGTTTGAGGTCACAGGATCTCTTTCAGATCACTAGGAAGTGACCCATGTGACAGTGAAAAGAAAGCCATTACTCAATATTAAGCTCTGAATTCTATAAAAACRATATTCTTTGTTTGTTTGTTTTCTGAGGTGCTAGGGATCAAATCCAGGTAGAAGATATTCTGTAGATGTATCTAGCTGGGCGTGGCGGTGCACACCTGTAATCCCAGCTACTCTGGAGGCTGAGAAGGAGGATTACAAATTCAAGACCAGCTTGGGGAAATTAGTGAGACCCTGCTTCAAAATTAAATTTAAAAGGGAAATAGTAGAGTTTTCCTGGATTCAATTTCCAGTACCAAAAAACTTAAAAAGCTATGATACATCTAAGTATACAGTATAATTCCAAAGACAGAGACCCAGTGGGTAGCCTTTACCACTTGGAATTATGTAGAAAGCAGCAGAGAAAGATACCCGATCATCKATGGTGTCATTAATTACTCTATAAGCAGAAAGTGCCGAAGTCACCCAGAGCTTGAAGGCCTGATAGGTGCTTAGTAATTTTTAATAAGACACTTCCCACATCCTATCTCCATTGGAACCTCCTTCTTCAGAGATCTAAGAACCAAAACAGATCTTCCAGTTTCAGAAAGCATGGGAGGCATACCTGACCTACTGAAGAAAAGACTACAGTTGATCACCCGACAGCTTCTCATAACCTCCCCCCAACACACACCACAGACCTTCATCACTGGCCTCATGGTGAGTACTGGAGTCATAAGAAAGTGGGGGACAACTGAGTCTGGGAGGAAGTGCAAAAGATGGGGTTGTGTCTCTGGCACAAGGGTGGCTCATGCAGCCTGGCTCTTCCCCTGGCATCAAACAGACTTAGATTTTAATCTATCTTTGTCACCTGCTAGCTGTGTGAACAAGTCACTCCACCTTTTGAAATCTCCGCTTTCCCTCCTGAGGAGAGGGTGTTAAGACCCACCTGATGAGGCAGGTGAGAACAATGAGAAGCAGCTTATGAGCGCCTGCGTAGGGGCCTGTAAGGACGAAGGGAGGCCCTGAATCCAGGCTCCAGGAGCAGCTCTGTCTCCTACGCCATGCCCTGGGCCTGATTTGGGGATCTGTGCTGCTTCCACCTGCCAGGAGATGCTGAGTCTGCCAAATGGCTAAAGTCTTACTTCCTGAGAAATGCATTGAATTCACAGAAATTACTAGAAGTGTCTCTTTCCCACAGTTCAAGGCCCTTCGGCACCATGGCCGGATGGCCGGTTCTGGGTGAAGTTGGGGTGAGTCCCTTGCCGTGGCCCCTCACCTCTCCATTTCCACCTCCTGTGACACCCATATCCCCCAGCCTTATCAAGAAGCCAGAAATGGAATCTCCCTACTCGGATGTCTCCGTCAGTAGGGAGTTCTGGTCAGCTAAGGGATGGGTCAGCACTGACTTCTCAGTCAAAGGAGCCATAGAAATGTAGCCTGGCTGTCCCTGTCCCCGTGGTATCCACTGAAGACAAGGAGAGAAGAGTCGCTGCTCTTGCTGAGTCACAACTACCAAAGCTATTTGTGCTCAGGGCTGCGAAACTCCCCAAGGACCAGGAAAAGACAGCTAAATAGCCCTTTCATCAAGAAAGGCTTCAGGATTCTATTTCCAAAGTTGAGAAATTCAGATAATGCCGACTCCCGCCCAGGATGGAAATGAGCTCTCAGGTCTCTCCTGTGAGCTGACCTCCTGCAGAGGATTGTAGGCCAAGGTGGCCAGGCTCCCCCTGCCAGCCTAAGTCAGTTTCCTTCTGAGTCAGCTTTCTTCACCTCCCTATTAATAGCCACTGCTTTGGCTGACTCCACTCACAGTATGATTACAGTTTAATAATACAGTTCAGGCAAGGAAGCAGCACCCTTCCTGAAGCTGGGCTGCCAAGGCCGCATAGAGCGCATGCTCCGTCCCACAGAAGAGGCTGGAGCTCCCTTCTCCCCAGAAGAGGCAGTTGAGTAGAGGTTGGGAGACTGAGTAATTGGCTGCAAAGACAAGCCAGCCCTTTGGGGTTTCCTTCCTGTGGAACTACCCCTAGTTTAGGGCAGGAAACCAATAGGGAGGCTGACTTTCATATTATTGGAGTCTTTTTTCCTTAGATATTTCTGGGGAGGACTGCAAAAATGTCACTGCTATCTTATCCAGTAACACAAATTCTTAGCCACCCAGATGGCCAATTCTGGGTGAAATTGGGGTTAGTCCCTATCAAGGTCACCTTTTCTCTACCTCTATAGTGACAAGGTGGCCCACTTAATAGACGCTCTGATTGGATAGGATGCGGTGCTGCTGCGATCAGTTTGAACTCTAGCAAAAAAAAAAGTTTCTTTCATGCCTACCCCTCCCCATTTCTCCCCAGTAAAAGCAGACCAAGATTCATGCTAATAAGCAATGTTGTCAGGTCACCCTGTAATTTGTTCCTGTCTTCCCATCTCTTGTGGGCCCTGGATGAGAAGAATAGGTAGGTTTAGAAGCCAGACACCTCAGGTTCAAATTCTGACTCAGCCTCTTTACTGCAAGGGTTTAGTAAATTGATTCCACTTAACTCTACTTTCTCATATCTATAAAAAGGATAATAATATATCCCAAAATGGTTTTGATGCAAATGACATGCGACACCTTTGGAAAATATTTCTAATACACTGCCTGGAATATAGTATGTGAACATTAAACTGTCTTAATTTTCTTTCCAGAAAATAAAAGATGGAGGAATGTGACCGAAAGCAAAGGCCTCCCCAAACCTTCATCCTAGAGGGAAAGAAGGTCCAGCATCTCAAAATGTGCAGACCCCTGAATAAACATGTCTAATGTGAAAGATCATAGGAACAAGCAGAAATTTGTGTCCCTTCTAATTTTTTTTAATGTTATGTTTTATTATTTATTTATTTTGTCCTGGGGATTGAACTCAGGGCACTCGATCACTAAGCCACATCTCCAGCTGTTTTTTGTATTTTATTTAGAGTCAGAGTCTCGCTGAGTTGCTTAGAGTCTCGCTAAGTTGCTGAGGCTGGGTTTGAACTCACAATCCTCCCAAGCCTCTGGGATTATAGGCCAGTTGTTTCCCTTCTTTAGATTCACACCATTTAGAAATCCCAGAGCGCCTGGTGTGGTAGTACACACCTGTAATCCCAGCAGCTCAAGAGGTTGAGGCAGGAGGATCACAAACTCAAAGCCAGCCTCAGCAACTTAGCAAGACCCTGTCTTAAAATAAAAAATAGAAAAATGTGCTGAGAATGTGGTTCAGTGGTTAAGCATTCCTGGGTTCAATTCTCAGTACCCACCCCACCTCCCAAAAAAGAGAAATCCCAAAGAGAGGCCCAACCTGGACTGAGCTGTATCCTGCTGGGGCCAAAGTGAGGAGTCTCCTGGCTCCATTTATCTTCCCCATTGAGCACTGAGAAGTCTCTCAGTTTATAAACAAAGGATGGCATATGAAGAATRGATAAGCAAAGGGTAGAGAAGGGCCTCCATCTGTTCTCCATTGTGTGCTTATCTATATTCCAAGGTCTTCCTTAAAAGAACCAGGTCAACCAGGCCTCAGAGCAACGCTGTTATCAGGAAGGCCAAAGAAAAAACAAAATATCATGCATACCCTGTTCTTCAACTTACTGAGAAAAAACCTGCCCCCAAATACCTGCTTATTACGTTAGATGGCAAATAATGGTCTCTAAAAAGACCATTTGGCTTCATGTCTGGGGGACTGGGGGCTGGAAGGGCGACTTTGTTCTTGCTACAGCTCGGCTCACTTCTTCCTGTGTGCCAAAAGCTTGCTTATATCTGATGGGAGCCAGCCAGAGCTCTTGGCAGCATAAAGTGGGGCAAGCCCCAGCATGACCTGCCCCCAAGCTTCTGCCCCCAACTGTGCACTGACTAGGGGCAAGTGGGGGAGGGGAGGGGAGGGCTGGGGCTAAATTGACTTGGGCTCATTGCCATAAAAGCAGACAAGAATTCCCCTCACCTCAGTAGGCAAAAGAGCAGGACCTTGTCTGAACTGAATGAAGGACCAGTCACCCCAACACCATTCATTCCTTCAGTGACCCCAGCGAATTTATTTATTTATTTATTTATTTATTTATTTGGTACCAGGGATTGAACCCAGAGGCACTTAACCACGGAGCCACATCCCCAGCCCTTTTTATTTTTGAGACAGGGTCTCACTAAGTTGTTTAGGACCTTGCTAAATTGCCGAGGCTGAGGCTGGCTTTGAACGTGATCCTCCTGCCTCAGCCTCCCAAACTGCTGGGGTTGCAGGTGCGGCACCCGGCTCTGCTCTAGGTTCTTGACACACACTGGTTAATAAAACAAAGATGGCATCTGCCCCAGGGGTAGAGCCAGACAATGATCAAGAACATTAATAAATATATCATTACAAATCATGAGAGATGCTCTTCAGAGAAGTACTCAGGTACAGTGATAGAGAATAACGATGGGGATGTGTGTGTGTGTGACTTCGAAGGACAGGAAAGGCCTCTCTGAGAGGTGGCATTTAAGGACTTGTGGGATTTTGGTGGCCTTTGCTCATGAGGGTCTCTTTTTTACTGCTCAGCTAAAAGCTCCCTTCTCTCACCAAAACCAAGAAAAGAATCCCTCGGTCAGGGATTCAGTGAAAAACATTCTGGGAGAAGGCAGGGGCTATAAGCCCTCTCTTCCAAGTCTCCTGTGGATGCATGTTCTTATTTTCCCTTTCTTCCCCCACCCCAACTCCAGCCTCCATCTGTCCTCTGCCCCACCTGTTTCCTTTACATGATGCCTTGATCCTGTCCCTTAATCTCCTCACTATGAGGATATTGCCTTCACGGGAAGCCCTTCATGGACTCAAACATCTTTGAAAACATACTTCAGGAAATCCACAGTCCTGCCCTTGACTCTCTGGAAGCCAAATAGCTTTGAGCTGCAGTAGATAAAACTCATCATTCCAGCTAGGCCAGTAGCCTAATTACAGTCTGCTTTCTATAACTCTTTATCTCAGGGTTGTTTTCCTCGATTAGCATTAACTAGGCAGATATCAGGTCATCTTGCCCCTGAGTTAAGGATTTGGCATCTCTGGACTATTGTGAAGCCAGGCCATCAGGATCAAATAGACCTAGGTTTGAATCTTAGCTCCCCTATACTGGCTTTGTGGCCTTGAGCAAGTCATGGGTCTTCTCTGGGCCTCAGATTCCTTATATGCAAGAAGAGGAGGAGGAGGATAACACCCATTCTGCAGAGTTGGTGAAAGAATTAGCCAAGAGAGAATGCCAGATGGATGGAATGTAGTAGGTACACTGCAAATGGAAGTCTTTATGATTGTATCAAGCTATCAAATAATCTGAACAGAGTATTGGCAGTACCTATTATGAAGATGATTGATTTCTATGTTAAGAATGGTGACCAGAGGCAGGCATGGTGATGCAGCTACTCAGGAGGCTGAGGAAGGAGGATTACAAGTCCAAGGCCAGTCTGGGTAACTTAGTGAGATCCTGTATCAAAATGAAAATTAAAAAGGGCCGGGATAGAGCTCAGTGGTTAAAGCCCTCCTGAGTCCAATCCCTAGCACCCTCCCCACAAAAAAGAAATGGTAGCCAAGCCTCCATTCACCAAGTCTTTATTTAATTTTTTTAATATTTACTTTTTAGTTGTAGTTGGACACAATATCTTTATATATTTATTTTTATGTGGTGTTGGGGATCGAACCCAGGGCCTTGCCCGTGCTAGGCAAACGCTCTACCACTGAGCCACAACCCCAGCCCACCAGGTCTTTATTTTGACCATTGTATCTCTTTGTGGATTGCTCAGCACCAGGTGAACAGAGGACACTGAAAGGCTTAAGAAAGAGCCTGGATCCCAGAATCCAGACTGGTAAGAATCTTGAGAAAAGTCTCTTGCTATTGGGTGGGACTGAATTTAAATCTCAGACAGATGAAAGTCTTCTCCAGTAGTTGAGTGGCCCCACCAACACTGCCCTAGTGGTACTCCTCCTGCAATCACACATGCTTTGTTGTCAACAGTTCACTTAGTTATTCATTTGTTAATTTAAAAAGAATATTTATGGAGCACCTATTATGTGCCAAGTACAGTTCAAGGTATTTGGGATACTAAGGCAATAAGACAAAGTCCTGCCCCTCATGTAAACCACCCACATAGAAAGGGGATGAAAGGGAGGGAGGGAGGGAGGAGAGGGAAAGAGAGAAAGAATAAGAAAGTAAGGAAATAAGCAGGTTTGGTGGCTTAAGGAACTCAGCAGAGATCCTGTCTCAAAAATAAAAAAATAAAAAGGACTGGGGATGTGGCTCAGTGGTAAAGTGGCCCTGGAGTAAATTCCTGGTACCAAAAAAAAAAAAAAAAAAAAAGAGGAGGAAGGAAATATAGATAAGTGATATGAAGAAATAAAATAAAGTAAAAGGATAAAGAATGATAAGAGTGATTGGAGGAGGAAGGGATGAGGTGGCCCGATAAGGCCTCTTGGAGGACATGACGTCTGAGACCTGGTGGGTGAGAAGGAGCCAGGCAGGATATGATTCAGGGAAAGAGCACAGAGGTAGGCATGGTGATGCAGCCAGTGAAGGAGGTTATTGCAAGAGTCCAGGCAATAGGAGAGGTGGCTTGAATTGGGTTGGAGCTTTGCAGATGGTGAAAACTGCTCAAATTTGAGATCAGACTACATGCATAGTGGTTAGATATGAGGAGTGGCAGAGAGCCATCAAAGATGGCCCCTAAATTTTGAACTTGGGGAGGATGGTGGTACTGTCTAATGATATCGATTGTTGGGAGAAATCATTCATTCCATGTCTTTGTCCTTTGCTAGAGATCCTGGAGCTATTTGGGAGCAGCAGTTCCAAGCTCAGCCCATTAGGATCAGTTCGCAATGTCCTTAGTAGGCACATTCATAGACTTCAGCCTTCTCAAGGACAGAACCCTTTTCCTAGTGTATGTTCACAAGAAGACCCAAGTCAGAAGCGTGGGACCGGCTGAGGACGCTCCCTTTCTGTCACTAAAATGTTGCAAACAGAAAATATGTTGAGCACTCACTGTGCCACACACTGTTCTAAGCACATGGATCTCATTTGAACTTTACCACCACCCTGCGCTATAGGTTCTATGATTATCCTCATTGTGCTGAAGAAGAGACTGAAGCAGAGAGGTTAAGTAACTTGGCCCAGTCACACTGCTAAGAAGTGTAGGGAACCAGTGTGTTTTGGAGCTATAGCCTGAGATAACTCCTGCTTTCATTTGTTCTGGTTGCTAGAGGAAACATCACAGATGGAATAATTTTCAAATAACAAATTTATTTCTCACAGTTCTGGGGGCTAGGAATCCAAGATCACCAGAAGTCTCCCTCTCTGCCTCCAAGATGGTACCTTGTTCCTGAATCCTCACATGGAGAAGGCAGAGGGCTGTGAGAATTTGGGTGATCTTTTTTTCTCTCTTTTTTTTTTTAATGGTGCTGGAGATTAAACTCAGGGGATCGAACTTCGAGCCTTGTACATATTAAGCAAGCACTGTATCACTAGCTACATCCCCAGCCTTTCTTCTTCCTCTTTTTTCCCCTGTGGTCCTGGGGATTAAACCCTGGCCTTGTACATGCCAGGCAAGCACTTTGCCAACTGAGCTATATCCCCAGCTCATCTTCTTCTTTTTCTAATCCCACTCATGAGGGTTTCATCCTCATAACTGAATCACCTCCTTCTGGTCAGGTCTTTTAGTCACAGCAGCATAAAAGCTGACTGAATACTCTCATATTAAGAATTAAGTTTCAGGGCTGGGGTTGTGGCTCAGTAGTAGAGTGCTCACCTATGTGTGAGGATGGATCCTCAGCACCACATAAAGATAAATAAA